GCAACCTCCGCAGCAATAGGTCTCAACATACATAAAGGAAAAAGCAAAATTCTCCGATGTAACACAGATCACTCTTGATGGAGATGCTTTGGAGGACGTTAACAGATTTACATATCTGGGCAGCATCATCGACGAGGAAGGTGGATCCGATGCAGATGTGAGGGGGCGGATTGGCAAAGCAAGGGCGGCATTTCTACAGTTGAAAAATATCTGCAACTCCAAACAACTGTCAACTAAAATCAAAATCAGCATTTTCAGTACAAATGTCAAGACAGTTCTACTGTTCTACTGGAGCGGAAACTTGCAGAACTACCAAAGCCATCATCCAGAATATGCAAGTGTTTATTAACAGTTGTCTACTCAAAATACTTCGGATTCGTTGGCCAGACACAATCAGCAACACCGTACTGTGGGAGAGAACAAACCAGATTCCAGTGGAGGAGTAAATCAGGAAGAAGTGCTGGAAGTGGATAGGACACACACTGCGAAAAGCACCTAACTGCTTCACGAGACAAGCCCTCACATGGAAACCTCAAGGTGAAAGAAAAAGAGGAAGGTCAAGGAACATATTACATCGAGAAATAGAGAATGATATGAGAGCAATGAACAAACATTGGACAGAACTGTAGAGGCAATCCCAGGACAGACAGAGTTTGTTGGATAAAACTGGTGGGCGGCCTATGCTCCATTGGGGGTAACAGGTGTAAGTAAGTAATACAGTCTGAACTGAGTGTACAAATACATGACTGATGTAATTTATTGACCAGATATTTGCTCCTGTTACACATCAGTTATTACATCGATGAAGCGAAAATCTTTTGAAATAAAATGAGAAAAAGTAGTTTAGTCTGAAACTCAAATAATCGATGCAGCAATAAAGTAAAACCTGACAACTGGAAACAGTAATCAAGAACTCAGTAAAATGAATCCAGAATTTATAATATATTTATAAAAATGAATAAAATATTTTTTTATGACGGAAACATTGTGAATATGATTAGTGGTAATTACAGTTGGACATAGTTCAGTCTCGTTGTGTTGGGAGCGTTAGATCCCTGGAACTCCTAATTTTTGATTTTTTAGGTTTTCGCGCAGAAGTTGCTTAGTTGACCTTCAATTTATAGTTCCCACTCAGAAACTCCTTGACTGTCATTGGTTGGTCGATTATTTTAGTTGATTATTTTTGTGGCTCTCTCAAGAATGTTTTTATCATACATAAATAAAATCGAATCGTATGCTTGTTAACCTCATTTTTTCTGGGTTCTTGTAGAATACACTTTCCACGCCTTATCAAGACTTCTTGATATAGTTCGCCAGGCCGGGTAAAAACAGATTAGAATAGTCTATCGTGACAATGATCTGCTCGAAATAATGCTCGTAATAACATTCAAGCATATCAATTGACTAGCATATCACTTTGATTACATCGATCAATGATACCAGTTTATCTCATTTTGTTTAAAATATTACAAATCGGTTGGAAAAGTAAACATTATCGAGTACATTGCGTTACTTTCAAATTGTATTGCACATTGGACAGAAAATAACAGAGAATAATATTTGCATTTTACTGATCTGATTTGAATAGGTGTTTTTTTAAATGTGATTCTTAAAATTTCCCGTGTTATTCATAAATCTTTGATTGGTACTGTTAGTGAATTAAGTAATTTTGAAAATATGAGGCCAAATATTATCAAAAAATAGTTCTTTAATACACACTTGAAATCATCAATCAATCATTGTTAGACCACCATTAGAAACCTGGAAGCACTGAGAGATGGCCGTTTCGTTCTGGTATGGGACTCATCAGCAGTGAGCACCCACGACTAATGCTCCTCGCAGTATTCGAACCCGCGACCTCCAGCACTGTGGGCGAACGTCTTACCATCGGACCACTGGGCCGGCATCCAACGGTGTTAATGTCTAACTCTAATTGATCTAGGGATTTTGCGCGACCTCAACCATTTGTCTTTGGTAGTTACTGCCTACTTCTGACAGGGTTGAACTCCACCGGTCACGTCTTCTCAACTAGAACTCCGAGAATTTCCTCACGAAGCTAGTCACTAGTGAGCACTGTTACGATATTTTGGGGCAGAGTTTTGGAGGTTTGAGTTTTTATACATTTGAAATCATTAATCAATCATTGTTAGACCACCATTAGAAACCTGGAAGAAGCACTGGACGGCCGTTTCGTACTGCTATGGGATGAAATTAGCAGTGCGCATCCACGACTCCTGCTCCCCGCAGGATTCGAACCTGGGACCTTCGTTAACTAAGTTGTATTGTGTGCGAAGTGCAAGGTAACAAAACAACACTCGAATGTATGAATACAATTGACTGGAACATCAGAATTAAACGCAAAACATACTTTATTTTGAGTATGAAGATCTAGAAATCACTGGATTGTTAAAATAGCATTCTCCAAAAACATTGTGTCAGCTCTGAATGACTATCTCCTCATATTAGGAAATTCATTGACAGTCGACATTTGTTCTCACTAAACTGATCAACAAACAGTTCAGTAGTTTCATTCTGCTCGATCACTGCATTTTTATTCTACCACAAAGAAGAAAGAGAGAATAGTTCTGATTTTCCTCAATCAGCAATACAGAATTGGCTGATTGTTTTAACAGATCAATGTAGAAAGTTTATTTTACGCGGTGATATGAAATGTGTTATTTTAGACGAATGATTCTAATTAAGCTATATTTCTTCAATACCGAAGATCGTAGTTGGCGAATATTTTGTCGGATCAAAATATGTATGATTGACTACGGGGCTTTAAAGGCAATCAATCTTCATTTTGAATCAATAAGAAAATCATGTGTATTTGGTTTGATTCCGGATCATTCTCTGTCCACCTGGATAGCACCATTAGCGCTTATGTAACAATGTAGTGAACTTTTCTGTTTTTGCACCAGTCTTAATTTAGTTCATTTTAGTAGCTTTGATTGTAAAATTAGTAGTCGTTGTAGGTTTTATTTTCTTCATATACCATAAACTAAGTTTTATTGACCGTTGGGCAATCAAAAGCCAAGGCAAATGTTCTACAACTTAATAGTTCATTTGCATGGTAAATTATACCAAATGCGATTAATACTGTAGTGAAGGAGAACACAGGTGAGGGTAACCGAATTGTATTTATTGAAAATTACAGAGTTACTCAGTAAAATCGGAACACCATATCGTAAATCGTTAATTTGCAAATCTTCAATCCATCATCAATCCATTATCTGACATTTCACTCACTATTCATGCGTTTCATACAAATTCCATTGTGTTCCCACTCTTTTTCTTTCTTGATCTTCTGCTGCCAGACATTACGTTTACACTCGCGTCATATACTACTTATAAGTAGCGCTCAACACAATACTACATGAAACAAAAAAAGGTTCCTCTTTTTCATCGATTAGTAATCAATAATTACATTGACTTATCGCCAGTCTACATGCCCACATCCAAAAGTCAAGCACTGATATTAATTAACTGAAGGTTAAGAAGAGTATGCAATCGTCAAACGATGAACGTTTAATTTACTAAAATTCTGCATTTATATTATTAATCAAAGAGGTATCTTATGATTGAAGACCTATGAAGTTGAATGAAAAGATTGTCAGCAACTAATCAACAAAGCATCAAATATTTAAGAATTATTTTGTGGTAAATAATAATTGCTTATCAATTGAAATCACTTTAGAGTTGTGATACTCGTCAAAAGATATGCTTGAATACTATTACGAGTTCACACCGGTCAGTAACCGAGAGCGAAGACAAATGGTCCAGTGACACGATAGGCTACTCTAGTCTGAGTGTCCCAGGGTCCCACTAAGTAGACGGAGAAGTTTTGATATGACGTAGGAAGTGTATTCTAAAAGCACTCATATCGTTTTTATTTATACATGATAGAAATGTCTTAGAGGGAGCCACAAAATAAGCGTACTAAAATAATACATCAACCAATAACCATCAAGGATTTTCCGGGTGGGAAAAATAGTCTCAAGGTCGACTGACTGATCAGCCCATGCGCTAAAACGCAAGGTCCAAACTTTAAACCTTAGTCAAGTGATTTCTGGAGAACTAACAAAGCCGTCGTCCAGAAGATTCAATGTTTATTAACAGTTGTCTACGCAAAATACTTCGTATTCGTTGGCCAGCAACAACGTACCGTGGGACAGAACAAACCAGATTTCATTGGAGAAAGAAATCAGGAAGAAGTGGTGGAAGTGGATAGGACACATTTTGCGGAAAGCACCTAACTGCGTCACGAGACAAGCCCTCACACGGAACCCTCAAGGCAAAAGGAAAAGAGGAAGGCCAAAGAACGCATTACGCCGAGAAACAGAGAAATACATGAGAAGAATGAACGAAAATTGAACAGAATTGGAAAGGGAAGCCCAAGACAGAGTTGATTGGAGAAAACTGGTGGGCGGCTCATGCTCCATTGGGGGTAACAGGCGTAAGTAAGTAAGTAAGTAACGTCCACAACAAAAATGACTGGAACTTTAAGCGTAAAAAAGAATAACCACATGATTCTTGAATTAATTCAGCGTTCCGTTACATTTTTTTAAAAATATTCACAGTAATTTATTCTGTTTGATGAACAAAATCTGTGTATTGTTGTTATGCTTTTCACTGACCGAAATACTCCAAATTACTCCAAACGCTTTGAAATTTTAGCTTTAGAAAACAGAACATTATCTACAGATTTCGATAATTATATCATATCATAACACGCAATCTTCAATTGCTCAATAGCTAGGGCAGTCAGTATTCACTGAAAACGTATCACACATGATTACGCGAAGCATAATCATTAGATTAGATGCTCGATCTGAGTTACTTTACACTTACACTTACACACACTCACACACACACACACAGAGAGATAAACTTTTTACCCACTACTGTGATTGGCTCTGACTTGTCATCCAATCACAATTGTCATAGAATGAATGAATGAATAATATTCATGATTTTTAATTTACTGAACTGAAGAAAGAAACACATTCACTTGGAAAATTATGCCAATCGATTGAAACATGATGTAATCGCTCAATCATGATCATGTGACAACAAGCATTAATGTTGACCGACACTTCAATTTTATTCATATGTCAAATTGACTACTAGTTATCTGTTTGCTCAAAACATGAGCACAGTAAGCACCGGTTATAAACACAGCATCATTTCAAATCAGTCATCTGATACCTATACACAAATAGAATTACAATGTCCTAAGATATTATTTCCTGATGACAATGGATTTACCACTCCTACTACTCCTACTACTACTACAACTACAACTACTGCTACTACTGCTGCTACTACTACCACTAATGACAAAAAGGAAGTATCATATGATAAGTTAGCATTAGCCGGGATAGCACGTCGTGGTGCTATAGTCGATGTTGGGACAATCATGGTAAGTAGCCAATCATCAAATGTCATCGGTGTTTTTTCACTTTTTACTTTCTCTATTATCTCATATCTGTGTCCGTTTACTGGTGTACTGTGTTCCTTGGCCTTCCTGTTTTCCTTTGACCCTGAGGGTTCCAAAAGTGAGGGCTTGTCTTGTGACATAGCTGGGTGCTATCCACATCGTGTGTCCTATCCACTTCCAACGCTACTTGGTTTTTTCACTCCCACAGTAGGTTGTCGCTGATGGTGTCTGGCCAGTAGATGTGAAGTATTTTTTTTGTAGACAACTATTATTGAATACGTGAATGATGGATGTGGGATGGCTTTTGTAGTTTTCTAGGTTTTCGCGCCATTTGTATTTGAAAATTGAACAATAATTGAATATTAATTATCGTTTATCAATGATGAATGTTTGTAAGGGCTTGTACAATTTATAGTTTACAGAATAGACTGACTGATTCTTCTAGTTAAACAATTATGTGAAACCTAGAATATAATGAATTTCTATTTCAATATAGTGTATTGAACTTTACGCTTGGGTTAAAATAAATAAATAATTCTCAATGGAAACTTTAAGAAATTGGTTTTTGAGTGTGGTTTTTATTTGTGTCACCAAATGAAGTACATTGCTCTGCCATCGATTCGCGTTATTTTTTCATGAGTTAGATTTCAAATAATATTATCTCTTCTCGATTCCATAGACAAAGATGAAAGAAGCGATTAGTTTGGTTAAGAAATACTTCTCCAGAGTATAAATCAACTAGTTTGTAAGCCATTTGACTTTTCCCATCCTTTGTGAACCCAAACTTTTTGAGTATACAATCGTGATTGATGTATTGGTGCGTCACTGCTTCTATTACCCCACCCAACCAGATAGTTTAAACTTAATTAATTGGCTTATTTAAACTGTCAGTCTTTTCGGACAAGTTGCGTACTACTTTATCCACCCTTAGCTTTCAAGCATACATCAGTCAACGTCGTCCGTCGAGGTAGATAACGACATGTTCTAAACACCTTGGCTAATGCAGTTCCAATAACCTACTAATCAATTCTGCATTCTTAGCTAGTACTCCTTTACTAACCCAGTCAGTGATCACTACATGATCTTACAATATACGAGCAATGCTTTTAAGATACCCACAGACCAGTAACTAGTGACCTACAAACATCCTCTATTTCTAACGGCCATGTTTCACACAACTGTTGCGCAATGAACTTGCCTTATTGACAGACAGTTAACTCACCATTACTAAAGATGTAAGATGAAAATACCAACTGAAACTATCAGCTCCGAAATTTTGGTTAGAGAACTTAAATGTCATCTCTTAAAATCGTTTTCAGTGGCGCAGGTGCATCTACTATTTGTGTTCTCTCCAATCCTAATCTTCTGGATTCGACAACACTTCCACCTTTGTCTTTCTAAAGTTATGTCACTGAATTATACTTCTTAAATATTATCTTCAAATCCTAATCTTCCCCATTAGCAGTAATTCTTCTACTATCTCTACTACTATGGGATTTGAATTGACAATTGCGTCTGTGTGCAAATGTGGTATGGTAATATGAACTAATGTACTTACTTACGCAGTTCTATGTTGTCACTGATTGACTGATTGGTTAGTTGAAGGAGTTCATTATTCTTTGGAACTTTGACAACCAACTACTACACGTTCATTCCAATGCTAACGCTTATACTGTGGCAGGTTTCAACTGCAGCGCAATAACTATTCGGCTATTGAGTTACAATTATCTCAGACTTTAAATTATCATACTAAGCTGAAACAACATGCATCATGAAATTTCTAACTGAAAATGAATGAATAGTACGCCAACGTTTTTCTCTATAGATCACTGTGCTTGAGGATAACACCCATTAAAATTACGGTAAATGTAGACACTATGTTTGTATTCAATATGGTTAATCTTATTTGTTTGGCTATTTTATTATCATGAACAAGTTTGATGTTGACATAAACAAAGAATTGAATTTTAATTACATTGTTAGACCATCAGGCCCGACCGAAGCTGCTACCTTGACGTGGTGGTCGGGCTTGCCTATCGTGATGACCCAACCGAGCTATACTGGCTGGAACATATGTTCCTGCAGGTCCTACCATGCCAGGCTGGTCGATTGGAGAACGATGAGACTAAAAGCAGCTACCCAAGGTCTGAGGGCGAAGTCGTACTGCTGACTGCAGAGGGGTGTGACAGCAGTAAGGTGTTTCCCTCAGACAACCAGCATCTGCAGCGATGCTGCCTTCTCACAAGGAAGGAAGGGTTAGAAAAGGTCGGCCCTAAAAATGTCACACTCCCCCTAACTCACGGATTTCCGTCTCCTTAC